GCTGCATTCCTCTTATCTGGGACTGGATTGACATGGCACGGAAATCTCACCACTGGAGCTGCACACTGTCACATTTGGCCCTCCAAAATTAAGCGATAGCTTTAGCAAAGCCAGCCAGGAGCACGTGTAGGAAAGGTTGGATGTCCTGGATACTGCTGAGAAGGGGGATGCTGCTGAAAAGAAGGGGGATGCTGCTGGAAAAGCCCACTACTGTGTTTTTGATTGGTAGATAGATGATGTCTGGCATGTGGAAAGAAGTCAAACCGACCAGTTCCAGAAAATGCTGCTGTTCAGTATGGTTTACGTTGAGGTTTTAGCGAGTGGAACATAGTAAGGAACTGAGCTCGTTCTGATGAAATAGCAACACTTAGAGGAAATAATGTCTCTAAAGGCTTTTGAGTCTAGTGGTGAATGGAAACACACTTGTTGAACTTTGAGGGTGGGACTGACATTTCAGACTGAGCACCGGGTTCGTTTTCGTTTCTGACAGCCCTTGAGGTCTGCATCGGACCTGTTTGATCTTGTGAGCCGAGGCTGTTCCCGGTGGCAGCCCTCCTTCTGGCTTGCAGTGCCGAGATGGAGTACGGCAAGCGCTGGGAAGTGGCTCACAGGGCATGTTTTTGGTCCCAGCTCTGCCCCAAATGTCCCTTTGTTCAGGCGCTCAGCTGCGGCGCGGGCGGTTGCTTGCCACATGATGCAAAAGGGAACAGAGATTTCTTTGTTGTCCGGGGCCCAGCTGCCCTGCCGGCAGAAATTGAGCCAAAGTCAGCAGTTTCCATCCCTTTCCCTTTCCAAATCTGGCTACCGTTCTGCTGGTGCGCTCAAGCGTGAATTTACCGGTGCTGCGCGTGTACGGTGCTTTGGACTTGTCATCCTGGTGGCAAAAGAGAAACCTTTCATTCCTGCCTAATAACGCTTTAATAACATCGCCTGAGGTTAAAAGCCGTAATTTCGAAGGGGATGTCTGCTCAGATCGGTGGTTGCTTAAGCGCTCATTACATGCAGCAAAGTAACCGAGTGCAGGAATCGGGGATGTTGCCGAGCCATGGCTGCTCGGGATCCCTCTGCTTCGAGCTGAGGGCAGAAGTTTTTGCTAAAAGCAGCTCTATGCCAAGAAAATCACCCAGAGCTGCTGACTAGTGTCAGCAGCATGCGGGGCTGGGCTGATGCTGCTGACATTTTAACCCTGCGCCCCAGCTAGCAGAAAGCACGCTCAGCACTGTTTCGGGAAATACTCGTCGGAGCTGGCGTGGAGCAGGGCGCAGAGCCCGGTCTGCGGCGGGATGGGGTTGGATGTGGCCTGCGCTGCGCTGCCTTCCGCCGGGCTGGCTTCGCACACGCGCTGCCGAGCTCAGCTCGGTTGCTGGCCACCGTCAGCAACAGGCACCGCTTCTTCCTCGCGTAGCCTAAGCAAAAGTACAGGATCGTTGTAGCAGGAGGGAGTGAATGGCAAAAAAAAAAGAAGTGGAAAGGAAAAATCAATAAAAATCACCTTTTCTTCCCCTTTCAGACCAGGTGTGCTGAGAGTCAGAGGTAAAGGCTCACGTATTGCTTGAAATACCTCAGAATATTTTATTTAGAAGCAAAGACTCATTTCTAGAATAATTCCAGTTGCTACTGAGTTTTAGTTGGCTTTCAAGTAAGATTTAGCAGATACAAGTAAAAACATAAACTATACACAGATTTGCCATAATCCCATTTCTCAGTTGTCAGCCTTGCCACGGGACATCTAGAAGTATTTATAGCACGGCTAGATATTACGTAGTTGGGTAATTTAGCACATTATATTTTTTACAGAAAACATTGTCAATTTATTTTAAAAGCCCTTTCATTCTGTGACTATGTTTTGAATGTTTTAAGGGCCTAAATATTTAAAGAAGTGGATAAAAGGGTTAAGCAGGGGGTGGAATGGAGCACGTACTGAAAGCAGGGAGGGGGGATGGTGGGGGTGGTCGGGGGGCATGAGGTGGAGGAAGGTTTGGGTACCGATGCAGGAGCCCGGGCAGCTCGTGCAGGATCTGGCCAGTCTATCATCTGTCCCGTTGGGAAAACCACATGGGCAGCGCCCACGCTCTGAAGCTGAAATGGGATGGATGGGAGACAGCAGAGGCAATATTTCTGCCTTCCGTGGGGTTTGCGTTAGGGCGTTTGGTAGAGGCTTGCGATGTCTGCCAGCGTCTGTACCGTGCGCTGTGCCTGCGCTCAGCTGCTATGCCTTCTGCCTCCTGCTTCTCCTTGCTGCTCACCCATGTTCAGTGTCACCCGGCTGCTTTCTGGAAAGGAGGAAATCGGAGCACACTGGTGGTTTTTTCTGGAGCAGCCGCTCATTGGCACAGGGAAGGGAAAAATGCAGCACTTGCAGTGCAATAAATACATCGGTTCTGTGGAGAGCCTGGTGAATGTCGTGGAAAGAAAGCTTTGGGCAGCAAAATCAGCAGGTTTTCTGCTCTCAAAACTTTCCACTCGGCATTGCTGTAGTCGAGAGGGAATTTTGCGAGGTAGCTATTAGCTTTTGTGTCAGACGACTGCACAGCATCTCGGGCTGCTGCCGAATCCATGTTCCTGGGAGAACACATCCTTTTGTAAAGCCAAATTTTCTTTTTTTTTTCTTGCCTTTTCTTTTTTTTCCTTCTTTATTTTGTAATGCCTGCATGATTTATCTTTTGCTTTCTTAAAATGTTTTTTTCAATAAATAACTGAGATAAATCTGCTTGGTTTGAAAAGAATGATCAAGTTTTGCTAACTTGGTGCCAGTCTGCATGCTGGGGTGGGCCTGCAGCCAAGCTAGCATTTCAATTTAGGTCAGATTCGGACAAAACAGAGTAACTCATTATTCTCTGCAGCCTTCTCTCCAGGTTTGTGTCAGTTTGGACTCTGGCTTAGAGCGCAGTGGGGCTTGGAGCAGCGCTAGGACGGCTTTCAGCGTGCTGGCTGAACGTGCACCGGCAGCTACAGCACAGAGAGCCAGGTCTGCTCTGGGAAGATGAGGTGTCTGCTTTTCAGCAGCCGTGTGTGCGCTGCTGCAAAGGGCTCCTGAGCGTTTTTATCCCAGCAGTGTGAAAACTGATGGCCGCAGCTATGGGCTGTGGGAAGAAATTGTGAACCACCCTGGGAGTGCCAGCGTGGTGCTGCTGTAGTTGGGAGTTGCTTTCCAGCGCTGTCGTAAGTATGCAGGGTTTCTTTCTAACTTTCTCCAGACCTTTCCAATTACTCTGGAGCTTGCCGTGCCCCGGAAGAAGTGAACTTTAGTTAACCACGGAATGACTAAGGATCTTCAGCAAGATGATGCTGTCCCTCTTCTTGGGCCGGTAGGAGCGAGACGTAACCGACAGTCCCTGCCCGAGGGAGTTGAAGAGCCGGGCTGAATGGGACTGAGCAGCGGTGGAAGGAGAGACCTAGGGGTGAAGTCACATCTGCAGGGTTGTCACAGACCAGAGACATAAGCACATTTTGTGTTTGTCCTTCACACTGCTCTTTTTGGGTAGATCCGTGTGTGTTTCCTTAAACACAGATTAAAGTTGCTCATTTAGAGGTAGTTAAAGGGTGACGCTGTTTTAAAACCAGTCTGTCGCAATCACAAGGTAATGCCTGAAGTAAGTAAATTGGCTTGATGTGTCATTTTCTTTGGACAAGGACTTTCTCTCCCTGGCCACTAAGAAGTGATTTTTGGTGGCCTTGCTGCATTTCCCCCTGCAAGGTGGAGGGGGCAGGTCCTGCTAGTGGATGCTGTCCATGGTGTGAAACTCAGCTGTCATTTCTTACTCCATTATTATAATAGTTTTACGTGGAAATGCGGTGAGATTTGAGAGGCTCTAGGTGAACACACAACATGCTTTGCGAATCGGCAGCACTGAAGTCCTCTCCGTGCGGTCCTCCACCACCACCACTACTGTGCATCTGCCCCGTTGCCACTGTTCCCAGCCCCTGTCAGTCAGGTCTGTGCCTGGAGGGTGCCAGCAGCTTCCCTGTGAGGTGGACGTCCTCACCCTACGCTCTCTGCCTGGCTTGAGTCTCGGTTTGGAACCCCACACTGAGGCGGGTGTAGATGGAAATGTGCTTGGCTGTGCTGTCAAGAGACTGAGCTGAACAGCCAAGCACGGTTGTCTCCTTCCTCCTCTGGAGCTCCAGAGCTGACCCTGGTCTTTGGGCGATGGTGGTGGCAGGAAAGTCTGGGTGCGAGGAGCAGCTTGGACTTGCCACCTGGGACAGCTTATAGCCAGAAGGTGACCGTATGTGCTGGTCCTGGCTCTCCTTCACCCCACGGGCCACCTGAGAGTCAGCCCCCTCGGCTGGTGGTGCCACTGCCAGTGGTATCCTCTGCTTAGAGCTGACTTCTTTCTTGCCTTGTCATGCAAGAGACGAGAAGAACATCTGGGCAGGATACACGGTCTGTAGGTAGCTCCTGTGTTGGGTTTCTCTGTTCAGACATTGCTGACAGAGGGAAGAGAGGTAGATGTCAGGTAGTCAGTCCAGCTCTGTTTTAGTAGGAAATGGGGTCTGAAACTGATGAAGATTTAAAGGGGCTAAGTGAAGAGGTGTCTTTTCCTCACATCGGTTGCAACCAACAAGCTTATTTTATGCAACAAGTAGCAGAAACTATTGGTCTGTGAACAGCCCTAAGGACCACTTACTGTCACCCAGGCTTTTAGGCAGGTCATTAAGTGGTTTTAAATGTATATAAAGTTTGTGGGAATGAATAAGAGAAGGAGGGAGATATCACTGTAGACAAATAGGGCTGTTACTGTCCAGTTTACTTTTTTGCAAAAGGCTAACACCGTGGAGGTTTGATGACCGTTGTGGCAACTGTTAACATCATCTCTCAGGGTGGGTGACGCCGATGTCACCTGCATCTTGTGGCTACGAGGAACCGCCTGGTCCTGAGCTGCCGAGCCACCAAGCCGAGTTACAGATGTGGTCACCCAGCCGGTGACCCCAGCCGCCCCACTGGGTCCCGCTTCTGACCTCTGTCTCCCTCTCTCTCTTCCAGGCACCTGCGTGAAGTGCAGCAAGGGGGTGTATGGAGCAAACCAGGCTTGCCAGGCCATGGGCAACCTCTACCACGACGGCTGCTTCACCTGCGGAGCCTGCAGTGAGTACCGTGTGCCCAGCCTGCTGCTGGAGCAGGGCCCCATGGCAAACTCTTCGGGCTTAACGTTTTTCCAGTGTAAAGGGGAAAAAAAAGGAGGTGGTTATTGAATTATCTGCCAGCTGGAGTCTGGTATGTCTTGGTGGTGGTGGCTGCCATTTGTTTTTGAACGGGTTCTTGCAAGGCATGTAGAAGAGATGCTTTGGGTTGTGCTGGCCGACTGCTTTTTGCTGTGGGGGGGGGTTGTTTTCATCCCTCTGTCTTTCCGTTACAGCAAAGTTTTCTTATTCGTAAGAGTATTTTTTCAGAGTGGCAGTGAATATGCCTTAGCTGGTGTGTAGAGGCTTCTTATTTGTCACATCAGACTTCACAGCCGTTCTGGCCTTTCAGTCTGCGGGGCCGAGGGAGAGCCGTTTGCCTTGGCTGGTGTGTAGAGGCTTCTTTTTTGCCACATCAGACTTCACAGCCGTTCTGGCCTTTCAGTCTGCGGAGCCGAGGGAGAGCCGCCGGGTCGGCACGGTGCCAAGGGCACCGGCCGTGGGCTCCGCAAGCACCGGAGCAGTCTCTTCAGGTGAAGCTGCTGCACGGTCGGTCCGGTGACGGTGTTTTCGCTGCGTGCGTTACTTTACTCGCTAAAATCATTTTGCCCTTCTGAGAGAGCTCTGGTCACAACACCTAAGTGCGTGAATGACCCAGGTTACACATCTTGCTTGTTCTTTCCCCAGAGAAATGGAGCAGTGCCCCGAGACGAGGGGCATTTCTCTGCCGGCTTGCTTGCTGGGTATTGCAGGGAGGGAGCTGGTGGTTGTGCCAGAGGTGTCAGGCTGGGAGCAGCAATGGTGAGCCCTGTGAAATCTGCCCAAGAAGTTGCGAAATAGTTCATCTGGCCCTGCTGAGCTCCCTGCCGCTTGTCAGACCCACATCTGAACCTTGCTGGAGCATACAGCGTGCTGCTGTGTATGGATCGTCCTCTGCCTTTTCGAGGAGGTCCGTGATGGAGCTGGGGTGAGGAGGAGGTTGCTTGATTTCAAATCGTGGCTGTGTTTGTAAGGCAGTGTTTTTTCTGTTTTGTTATGTTTAACTCTAGGGCCAGTAGCCTATTTTTCGAAATGTGCCTGTGTATGTGGTACAAAAAATAATAAGAATAATAATCCTTCTGGTGCTTTTGTATATATCGGTTTGGTTTTTCCAGGTGAGTCGTAACATTTTTCTCCTGCGTTGTATTTAGAGTTGTGAACTCATCAGGACTGCATGTGTTTTATTTGGAGCTTTAAAGTGGGGATAAATATAGAAAGACGTGTGTGCTTTTTAATAATAGCTGTACCTTGAACTCTGCTCATTTCCCAGCTGTCCAACACCAGCTGCCTTGTCTCACCTATGTTTTCAGTAGAGCACCTCACCATCATCTGGCCAAAGACAGGAAAACTGAAAAGGAAAAGTGGTGTTTGCACGTGGTGGCTGTTTCCTAAAGGCACAAGTCAGCAGCTCACTCTCGTGTCCTCTCTTATAAATTAATTCCGAATCTTCTCCTGCAGAGAGGATTCCTGGCTGCAGCCAGGGACCTCTCGCCCTCTGTGGCCGGGCGGCCTCCGAACTGCCCTTGCACACAAAGCTCCTGTTAAAAATAATCCAGCAGCAGGTTTGAGCTGTCTTACATTTCTAAAATTACTACCGTGCAACTGATGCTTTAGAAAGAAACACTTTTGATCCTCTCTTTAGAACGGATTTTGCCCTCTTTGTTTGGAGACCAGTGCTAGAGAGGTACTTGCGGTTGCAGAGGTATCAGTGTTTACATCTGTTCATGTTTGTTTGTGTTTGGTTAAAAAGCAGCTTAATCCCATTTCTGATGAGTTGGGTTGGTGAGGGCTGACAGAATGGCTATTTGTTGCTTATTCTAAAAGGCAACCCTTTCCAAAGGTTTCCAATGCAGGACGAGTAAGTGTGGGTGTCAGGTGAGACTTAGAAAGATGGAAAGAAGCGAGGCTGAGCAAAGTGAAGCTCATTTTCTTTCTTACCCAGGCTGTAACTGAGAAATGTGCTGAGGAGATCTGCTGGGGCAAAAGGTTTCAAACTGAAAGTTAGAAAAAAAAAGGCTAGTGAACAGGATAGGGAGAAAAAAAAGGAAAGGGAGGGAGCAATAATATTTTTGTGAGTAGAAAATACTGTATTTCCATACGAGATGAAAAAGGGGAATGCAAGTGTAAGCGAGAGCCTAATTCAGCTTGTTCCGCGCAGGAGAGTAGTCACTCATGAAAGCTCAAGTCCCTCCCGTCGGGGCAGCGGCCATACTAAGATGGAAGCTGGAAGCAGCAGCAGCTGGCAGGCCCGCGCAGGGGGGCGGAGAGGAGGGCCGGTGACG